AAGGAGAGCAGGGCCAGGAGCAGGGCTCCTTGGGGAGCATAGAGTAACCCTCAGTCCTCAGGACCAAGGAGAGCAGGGCCAGGAGCAGGGCTCCTTTGGGAGCACAGAGTAACCCTCAGCCCTGAGGATCACAGGGTGCTCGTGCAGTCCTGCCTGTGCCCTCTTGGCCCCTGCCCGCGGCGCATATCCCTCACCCCCAACGCCAAGGTCCCGGGTGCAGACCTGGGGAAGAAGGCCACCTGGGGCCCCGCTGCCCACACGACAGCTCCTGACACCACAAATGTAGCCCTCATTGGTCCAGCACCCCTGTTCAAAACCTGGCCCCGTCACAAGCCCTCACTCCCAGCTCTTGTCCCCTGCCCCAGGCACACTCACGGGGATGCAGGAATTGTCACTGCTGAAAACAAGCGACACCCCATGACATGGAGGAGCCGGCGCCTTTGGCCCCAGCAGTAGCACCAGTCCCGGGGTTCCGCAGCGGAATGGGGATGGGAGCAGGGTGGGACAGGGACAGGGCAGCTGACAGTCAGTCATTCCCTCCCCAGATGACTGGGGACAGGCACAGACCTGTGGTCCTAATGGGCAGCCAAGCTGGGATACCAGGCACAGCCACCAGCAGTACAGGGCAGCAGGGGCAGAGCCATGGCAGGCACCTGCTCCACCATCAGATGAGGACAAGCAGAGACTCCTAACGTGTGCTTGCAATGGCAGGAGGTTTTGGCATAACTTCACGTTCGCTCCGCTTCGCTGTGACAGCACTACTGCTGCTGTCGTAGCCACCACAGTAATAGACGGCCTCGTCCTCGGCTTGGACCCCACTGATGGTGTGGGGCCAGACGCAGAACCAGAGAATCGTGAAGGGATGCCCGAGGGTCTCTTGTTGCTGTCATAGATCACAGTGACAGGGACGGTGCCAGGTACCTTCTGCTGGAACCAGCCAACATTGCTGCTGCTGTCAAGCCCGGAGCAGGTGATCTGGACGGTTTGTCCCGGATTTGCTGACACCGAGGGCGGCTGAGTCAGTGCTG